ACCACGTCTTTGACCCTTTCCACGAAATCCCTAGTAACCTGCAGAAAATAAGATGCATCATACGATGCTGCCCAGATTAGGTCCGCCCAGTTATTGAAACGCAGGATAGACAAAAGTGGCGGGTAGGGGGGAAGAACATTGAAAGAATTGGCCCTAACAAAATCCAAGACCACCGGGTTAGCTAAGGCAATTGATGCTTGTGCGAGACGTGACGGTGTTTTGAATTCATCCAACCACGATTGACCCCCCTGCACCAAATCCGCATACAAGCCATTTGGCGTTAAAGTAGGTTTTTGTTGCACACACAAACGAAGCACGACATTTTAATGTCAGTGTTTAATAAAATTTTGTGGTTTTATTAGCAACAACCATTCTTCCACGGAATAAGGGAATCATTTTGCTTCCTCCTACCCATATCAAGGATCAAATAATATGTCATAAGGCAAAAAATATTATCGATATGTTTGACAAGGAGGAATCGACCCCCATTGATGGCTACAGAGGAGACTTAAAAATAACCCCTTCTATGTGTATGTTTTATTACGAACAGGAAGCCACCGCGCGAATATCCGCGCAGCAAACAAAATAGAACAATTGTGCCTTATTACGACGATCACAGATCCAATTTGTATGGGCAACAAGGAAAGGCAAAACTGATTTCCCCATGAGGGTTTTTTGCTTGGAATACAGAAACTTTTTAACCGACTATTAAACACCTCAAAGAGTAATTGCGAATTTTGTGCGACCAAGGAAAGGAATCCGCCCAGTAGGTTGGCTACGATTGGTGATATACTCAGGCCTCGTGATAGGATAAATAGTAGCATCAGTCACTAAGAGAATCCATGAAAGTAATTATCTCGAGACATAACATAGGGTCATGTAGTTGGATAACATTTCACTCAATTATCGTTTGTAAAATCCTAAGGCAGACACCTTTTCACCGAAAAATTATAAATATTTATCTATAGATCTTTAAACATCCGATGACCAATAGACAAATAACAATGAAACCACCAGAGTCCATTTAAACAGAATTTTCAAAAAGAATTTTTTGAAATACAACGTAACTCCAGGTTGATAGATATATAGGCAAGCATATTGAACAAGAAGTACAGAGCAAACCAATAACTACAAGCTTCGATGGAAGAAACCATTAGAGTATCAACAGATAAACCAAAAACACCACGGAAGATTGCAACAATCACTCAAGAAAATATTGCAAGTTACGATGGGCGAGATACCAGCACCACCCTGTTAACTCTCAGCATACATCCCTGACCAGATGCAGCAATCCAAGATCAACGTCCAAATTCATCACGATACACAGTAGCCATGGACACTGTCTAAACAGGAGGAATATATCACACTCGGATCTTCGCGGTGTCGCCGAGTTATTACGGGGTTTCGACCATCAACGTCATAAAACCAGACGACGAGCGGCCTCCCAAACAATCGATACCATTACAACTCTTATCCCAACTAAACTTCAGTACTTGCGTCGTACTCATCCCACCCATCCATCTGTACACCAGTAGCAACTCGTAAAGTCGAATCTCCTCGTACACCTCGAAATCATCATAGAGCAAGTAGGCGTCGACCAGCTCCCATGACCCGGGAAACTATGCAATTTCAATGTGAAGAAGCTTTCACCCACAACCCTCCTTCACCACCCATCTGCAAAAGCACCGCATCGTGATTCGAGCTCCAATTCATTACCCCACACCTCCCCTTCCCTTATTAACATGACTCATCACCCAGTGACCCTAAGTAGATTAGGAAGAAGGCCCATGAGCTCGTTTTCCAAAACGTCAAAAGAATGCTAAGTGCTGCAAGCAACGAAAGCGGCAGAAACCCGAGATGAACGCCCTTACTCCTCTCCGTTTCCCAACACACGCCTTCACCCGCCATTTCGAATACCAAGAACTCCCGCCAGAACTTCATCATGGCGATTGCCGCCAACGACCACACACCAATAACCAAGGAGGAAACAATCATCCATATGCCCAAGATCCACATCTCCCTACTCCCTACGACAAAATTTCGGATGAGTTGTTCTCGTGGAGTTAAAGGCGCAACACCCATACTCAACGACACGCAAAGAAGCGAACTCCGCAGTCATGAAGAACGCTAATAGGGCAAGGAATATAGCGAAGATAGCGACTATCGCCACAGATACGTAAGCCGCCTCCATTCGGGTGACTTCAATGGATAAGTCGAACGCCAGTCTCAGCAGGATTTTACCAATTCCTATAAACACAACTCACATTCATCAATCACAAAGGAAGGTAGATCGACAAACTTTAGGCAGCAACACGAACCATGTATAAATACACACATCCGAAAAAAACCCAATTCGACTAAACGACCCCTCAGTGTCGACGAAACAATAGGGTAGTTGGCAAGAGGTCCCAAAAGCTTTTTCACCGATCCCTGCCGTGATCGGATCATCAGGGGAGAACAGTACCCTTAGTTATCGTGTCGAAAGGGATAGGGCCAAATAAGCCACGAAAAAAGCAGAAATAATAAGAATCAACAGTTTAGGAGTTAGAGGAGACTACAAAGAGTTTACCCCTCCCGATGATGACGCCTGATCGCCCATGCCTGCTGCGGTCGACACCGCATCCACCAAACACCAGTTTGCCTAATCGACAAGCCTCGTGCTAAGTTTTGCACGCCACGCAGACGCAGGCGGTCAAGAGGAAGATAGCCTTATGCGAGAGAGGAAGAAGAATACATCGATGGCTGGGCGGCCATAACCAGGCAAGCAGCGATAGATCAACACTTCCACTCCAGAGGTACTATAATAGCGCAAGAGCGCGGGGCCATGGACTCAATGAGTTATACTGACTCCAGGTGCCGCGATCATAAGCGCTATCGAGAGAGGGAGATATCGTTATTTTACTGACACTTAAATACTAATGAACGGGATTAATACCCAGTTCATGATCACGGAACCAACCTAGATTGGCACCAGCACCAGAACGCGGGCCGAAGGGGGAGGCCAGGGTGGGCATCATGCAGAAAATTGCGTTTCGATTGCTCTACAGGTACGCAGGCCGTTGGGGGGAGTTTGTGGGTACCACGTACGGTCGAAAAAAACCACCACTCGTTTTTGTCCCACACGAATGCCGCAACATAGGTCGAAAGGGGTGGTGAAATGAGGACCGACCAAGCAGCATAACTCCACTATCCCACAACGACACCTGAACCCCAACTTAATCATTGGGGGAGAGGGCCAAATTACACTGAGGGCCCTCATTACCCAGTACTTTATGCAATCAGCATATATTTCCAACTAACTTCCAAAGAAAACATCTTGGAAGAGATACTTTCCATAATTACGGGAAAAAAAATTATATATAAAAAAAGAGAGAGAGAAAAGGAGAAAAAGGGGGGAAAAAAAGGAAAAAAAGGGGGAAGCATGAATGTATGTATGTGTGTGTGTGTGTGTGTGTGTGTGTGTGTGTGTGTGTGTGNTGTGTGTGTGTGTGTGTGTGTGAGAGAGAGAGAGAGAGAGAGAGAGAGAGAGAGAGAGAGAGAGAGAGAGAGAGAGAGAGAGAGAGAGAGTGCCAGAATCGGCAGCTGAACATGCATCGTTTGGACCTGCATGAGTGTGGGAGAGAGCCAGAATTGGCCGCTGAACATGCGTCGTTTGGACCTTGGCGAGCGTGGGTTCAATTTCGACCTGCACCAAGCACGGGCTCAACTTCCTACACACATGGGGGCAGACCTGCCGTTTCTTCCACTACTGCCTCCTGCCTGCTGCCCACTCCTTTTTGCTGTTTTTTCACATTCTCATGAGCGACCATGTCCTAAGTGTACCCGCCCCTTGCAAGGCCGCAAAACCTCAAAATGCCCACCCTTCCGGACGACCACTTACCACCGACCACGGACGACCACCGACGACCACCGACGACCACCGACGTTGAAATTTCGACGACTGTGAAAGTCTCAATGACGGGCTGCGAATATGTGGAGATGTGCGGCCGAGGAAACTCAACGCGATTTCTGCACATTTCCTCAAACACGTCAGGATTCAGGCATTGAGGAAATTCAACGCTGCTAGGGGGATTTGGCCCGGGGTGCATGGTCCCACCAGCCACGGGAGGTGCAGGTCGTTCTGTCGTTCAAATTCAGTTTTCCCGGGCTTATCTGGTGTGTCTTCGCGGGTTTATTTGGTGCCGTCCTCTTGTGATCATACGCGGGCCCAAGCCTCTTTCCAACAGGCAATCAGTGAGCGTCGCACCAACTCAAAAAGACAGGTGTCCTACGATCATTCAGGTGATGCCGCGGGATCTGTCAGCCTTGGTCCCGCGACCTGGAATTTTTCTTTCTTTTGTCAACGAAACGGATAACCCCATATTGGGCCTGCTCCACCACTTGCCAATGTGAAAAGGCGAACAAGGCGTGTATCTTTCCACTTTCGGACCGAAGCTGCACTCGCCTATTTAATTTAATTAATTTAACAGATGTGGAGAGTAGTGCGGCGAGGCCCATATCGTCCGTCGCGGACATCAGCCGAAAATGGCGTGTATCTTTCCACTTTAGGACCGAAGATGCACTTCCATCGCGAACAGCAAGTGAAAGATTCTCTCAGATGGAGTATAGGATATAGGACGACGTCTCTTCCACTTCGCGCAATTGCACACCCATCGCCCGAATGGATTTGGTGGGGCAACGGGAAGGGGTAGGTAGGAGGCTTTAATCGTCATCGTGATGAATCTGATGATGGACATGTAATGAGGGGAACAAGAGGAAGGGGTTGGAGGCGGGGAGGGGGAGGAGGAGGAGGAGGGGGAAGAAAACTTCAAGATGGATGGGATGCAAGGAACGAGTGATAACGGTTTGGGATCAATCGCGGATGCCATGAAAGGACACACTCGTATGGGATCGGAGAAGAGGGGAGGGCGAGGGGGGGGAGGAGCAAGAGAAGAAGGCTTCCTCGGGATGGCTTGGATTCGACGAACGAATGATAGCGGTGTGCGGCCAATCGGGGACGGCATCGAAAGAGGCCCTCGTTAGAAATTGGAGAAACTGAGAAGAGGAGGAGGAGCAGGAGGAGAACACTTTGAGATGGCTGGTGCTCAAGACACGAATGATGGCGGTGTGCGATTGATCGCGGAGAACATCCAAGGAGACCCTGCTAGGGGAATGGAGAAGCTTGGAGGAGGAGGAGGAGGAGGAGGAGGAGGAGGAGGAGGAGGAGGAGACCTTGATATGTCTGGCATTCAAGAAACGAGTGATGACAGTGTGCGATTGGTCGCGGATAGCATCCAAGCAGCAGGAGGAGGAGGAGGAGGAGACTTCGAGATGTCTGGCATTCAAAAAACGAGTGATGACAGTGTGCGATTTGTCGCGGATAGCATCCAAGCAGCAGCAGCAGCAGGAGGAGGAGGAGGAGGAGGAGGAGGAGGAGGAGGAGGAGGAGGAGACTTCGAGATGTCTGGCATTCAAGAAACGAGTGATGACCGTGTGCGATTGGTCGCGGATAGCATTCAAGCAGACTCCCTTATGGGATTGGAGAAGCTGGCTGGGGTGGGGGAAGGAGGAGAAGGAGGGGGAGAAGAAGACTTCGAAATGGCTGGGGTTGCAGAAACGAGCGATGCTGGCGTGCGATTGGTCGTGGATAACCTCCAAAGAGACACACCAATTAGATGGGAGAAGTCGGGAGGAGGAGACGAAGAAGGAGGAAGAAGTACAAGGAACGATAACTGCCTTGTTATAGCTTGGGGTATTACAAACGATCAAAGAGAGAAATACGAGGAAGGCGGAAATGGGAAGGAGGGAGGGGTTGTAGTCGATGTGAATCATTGGATGACAAACAACGCGTCTGGGCAAGCTTTGGAGAACGGGCGATCCCCCCCCCGTTCGAGTGGTATGTCCGAGTCTACAGCATCGGAGACGTTGGCAGTAGGAGTAGGAAGAGGAGAAGGAGGAGGAGGAGGAGGAGGAGGAGGAGGAGGGAGAGAGAGAGCGAAAGAGTACGGCGGCTCCGATGTAGCTTGTGAGTCAATGGAGAGTGAGAGTAAAGAAGGCCAGGAAGAGGAGGAAGAAGGTGTTTGTGAAAAGGGAGGAAGCAAGGCTTTTGAATGGTTGACGTCATCGATCTCTGGGCGTCCTGTACTTGGCGAAGAAAGTAGGAGGGCGGAGATGGGAGATGCGATTTGTAATTGGAAGATACCGGATGTACGAGCAAGAAGACGAGGAGAAGAAAAGGAAGGAGAAAAAGAGGAAAAGGACGGAAAAGAAGAAGAAAAAGACGACGACGACGACGAAGAAGAAGAAGCCGTGGAAGTTGTTGGAGGTAATGGAGAACTGGAGGCTGTTGAACGGCGGGGCCATGATGGCATGCACTTAGCCGTAGAGGGAGGACGGGTGGTTGGGGAGCATTCGGAGGCAACGGAAAGGGATCGGGAAAACAATGGCTGCGGAGCGGAGGAGAGTCCGCTTGCGCACGTTGTGGAGCGCGGGGAGGGGGGGGAGGAGGAACATCGCGCGGGATCAGATCGGGAAAACGAAGATGGCGTCGGGGAGAGTAGATCGTCTGCGGACGATGCAAGAGATTTTATGGCGAAGTTCCATGAAGACATTGACGCAGTCGTGAAGCAATGCCAGTTCCACAAGGACGTGGTAATGGATGCATTCGTGAGTTTCCTAAGTGTTTATGGTGAAGAAGGATGGCCACTGGTGCAGGAAAACAATTACAATATGGTGATCAGGACGATAGAGGGAGGAGGAGGAGGAGGAGGAGGAGGAGGCGAACAGAGAGAGATGGAGGGAGGGAAGACTGACGATATGCAGATGAGGGAGGGAGAAGGGGTGGTGAGGCAGGAGGAGACAATGCATGGGGACGCGAAGGAGAGAAGAAGAGAGGAGGAGGATGGAGAGAATGGCAGGAAAGGCGGACCGAAAGCATCCCTTTCGTATGGAGAGGGGCGAAATGATTCAGGTACAGAGGAGATGATGTGCGGGGAAGTGCGGGCAGGAAAGAGCACGGAGATAGCATCCACCTCCGTGCTTAGATGCCAAGCGGATCTCGTTCCTTCTCTTTGTCCATCCATTCAGGAACACCGTCAGCAGCAGCAACAGCAGCATCAGCAGCAGGAGGAAGAGGAGGAGGGGAGCGATCTGGAGATAAATGGACGGATAAAAGGCAATGCAGGATCTGGCGCGGCGGCCATTGGCCGTTTTGCAGAGTGCGTAGCGCCTCAACTTCAACATGAACCTGAACCTGAACCTCGTCCTTGTGGACAGGGAAAGGGAATGGTGGGATTGGGAAGACGGGGAGATGATGATGGGGGCACGCCCGCCATGGACAGTCGATGGGAGAAAGGAACAGTGGTTGAGAAGGGTGATGGAGTGGAATCGAGCGACAGTTACGTGAAGGTCATGGCAACGAATGTCCCGCCGTGCCGGTTTCGGTATTATGAACTTGGCAGTGGTCATTTGGGGGGTATGCCATTTGGATCTGGCTTTGGATTTGGAAGTGGATTCGGTGCACGGAATGCAATTGGAGCTGGCGACGGGGCACTTGGGACTGGCTTTGGATTTGGAAGTGGGAGTGGAATTGGCGCGGGGTTTGGTATACAACCCGCAACAAGCACCGGGGGAAACGACAACGGCGGTTCGGTCGCTGGACGATGGGAGCGGTCTGAGCTGCCAGGAAGTGATTATTTGGCGGGTATCCGATGTGGACCTGATAGAGGAAGTGGAATCGGATGTGGACCTGTCAGAGGAAGTGGAATCGGATGTGGACCTGCTAGAGGAAGTGGAATCGGATGTGGACCAGGGGATGGACCAGGGGATGCACTTGGACCTAGCGATGGGGTTGTTGGGACTGCCTTTGGAGTTGGAACTGGGAGCGGAATTGGCGCGGCGGGAACAAAGAGAGGGGGGAAGGACGACGAGACGGTTGAGGAACGATGGGAACGGTGTACACCTGGAATTGATAATTTGGCGGGAATGAGATCCGGATCGGGTAGAGGAACTCATTCTGGCTCTGGACCAGGGAATGCACTTGGACCTGGCAGTGGGGTTCTTAGGAGTGATGATGGATTTGGCTCTGGACCATGGACTGCACTTGGACCTGGCACTGGGGTTGTTCGGCGTGGTGGCTTTGGCGTTGGAAGTGGGAGTGGTGGGGGGAAGGAAGACGGAGCGGTTGGACGATGCGAACGGTCTGCTGAACCTCGACGTGGTCATTTCGCGGGAATGCAATCTGGACCCGGAAGAGGAACTGGAATTGATTTTGGAGCTTGGAATGCAGCAGCTGGAGCTGGCCATGGGGTTGTTGGGAGTGGTGGTGGGTTTGGAGTTGGACGTGGGAGTGGCCTTGGCGCGGGGGGATGCGGGAGAGTACTGGGAACGATGAGCGGGGGGAAGGCAGACGGCTCGGTTGTTGAGCGATGGGAAGATGATGGGAGGCGGAATATGGTTTCCGCACGTGGCTCTGTGGGGGAGTGCGCGGGAAACGGGATGAGCGGTCGTGCAGGGACGTGGGTAGTTGGGGGGGGGGGCGAGAGGAAGAAGAAAGGAGAGGAGGGCAGAGCCGTCGAAGAGAAGAAGAAGATGGAAAAAGCGGGAAATGGGATGAGCGGCCGTGCAGGGACGTGGGTAGTTGGGGGGGGGGGCGAGAGGAAGAAGAAAGGAGAGGAGGAGGAGGGAGCCGTGGAGGAGAAGAAGATGATGAAAAAAATTAAGAGGAAAGAGGAAGAGAGTAAGGTCGTTGGACGTATGTATAGCGACGGCCATAGGGCAAACGGATGGGCTGAGGGGAAGACGAACATGAAAGTTCAGACGGTGTCGGGGAAGTCGGGGCCACTGGAGCGGCGGAACGTGTCTTTAGGAGAGGGAAAGGTCGGTCAGGGGGGTGAAGGCGGAAGCGGTAGAGGCAGCGTGGGGGGAAAAGGGGGCGTGGTTGGGAAATGTACCTATAGGGCAGATGAGGGGAGCAAATTGGCAGGGAGGTCTGGAATGGGGAAAGAGCGATTGGACGCCGCGGGGATGGGGAGAACTCTTGGGGGAGGAGGGGGGTTTGGGTTGTCCGGGGGGAAAGCATGGAAAGAACGGTCCGACGGCGGCGACGGAGGAACTCGCGGGGGAGAGTCGTTGGGCAGCGGCGGCGCATGGCGGAAGACGGGTGTTGAGCATCGGATCAAGGAGATGGAGGAGGGGGAAGGTCGTGTGGGGAATTCGGGCGGCGGGCGGAAGACGGGTGTTGAGCATCGGATCAAGGATATGGAGGAGGGGGAAGGTCGTGTGGGGAATTCGGGCGGCGGCCATCGATCGGGGAGGGTGATGAATGGAGCTAGCAGTGAACTCAAGGAGGAGGAGAGGTGGTCTGAGGGTGGGTTGTTGAGAAAGAGGGAAGAGACACGCCGAGCTTGTGATGGAGCGGCGGGGAGGGTGAAGAAGATCGGGCAGAAGGACAGCGGCACGAGGAAGAGAGGTTTCGACTGCGGCAGCGTCGAGGAAGAGAGAACGGTGGTAGGAGGAGGAGAAGCTGGGGGGATGGGGAGCCAGCAGAGGGGGGATGATGTGAGGGGAGAGGAGGAGAGGGTTCTCGACAGGAGGGAGAAGGAAAGGACAGCGGAGAAGGGGAGGACGAAGGAGCAGACTTCTGCTGGGGGCGATGGAGGAAAGGTGAGCGGTGCGAGCAGAGATACCAACAGCGGGAAGAAGAGGAGGTGGGCAGGAGGTGGGAGCTGTAGCGGCGACGAGGAAGAGAGAAACTCGCCGGGAATGACACTCGGGAGGCAGGCGAGAGAGACTGGTGGAAGAGCAGCAGAGGGGAGGATCCTGGACAAAGGGGAGAAACGAAGGGTTGTCATCGAGCAGAAGCAGAAGAGGGCGGTTGATGGGCCCGAAAAATCAGTGAAGGGGTCCACGGGCGTTGGTTTCGGTGAAGGGGTGAGGGGGGCCGTCGCTTTTCCGAGGAGACGGGAGGTCGACGCGGACGGATTGAAAATAGTCAGGGGCAGAATAGAGGAGATGGACGATGCTGAGGGAGGTAGTAGTGCTGAGGAGAGCGGAGGGGGGGCAGGAGGAGGGGGAGGAAGAGTGGGAGGATCAGCAGGAGGAGAAAGGGGCGGGGGGCTAGGAGAGGAGGGCAACTGCAGGAGCGAACGGGTCGCGACGACGGCTGAGAACAGAAGGACGCCGTCCCAGGGAAGGCGGGAGCCGGAGGAGGGTGCCAGTTCTGATGACGATGATGACTTAGCCTTGAAGTTTAGGAGGAAAAGAGGGAGAAGGGAAAAGGGAATTGGAACTGGAACTGGAACTGGAACTGGAACTGGAACTGGGACTGGGACTGGGGTGGGAGCTGGAGAAAGAGTCGGGAAAGGCTCCGGGGAAGGTGGCGGTTTTGCGGCGCGCTCTACAGGCGTTGTAATTCGCGAGTCGCCGCATCCGCAAGTAGCTGACCACCCCCACCAACCGCAAGGGCATGATAAACACCAACGCCAGGGTGATAAACAACAACAGCAGCCACAAGATGATAATCACGAGAATGCTGGAGGAGGACAAGAAGCAGCTGAAGGGCAGCAAACACGAGGGCGGCGGGAAGGGAAAGAAAAAGCCGTCGAAGTGGTGGTGAAGAAGAAGAAGAAGAATGCAGGCATATGTAACACTAAGCGTGGGACATTGGAGGTCGGGAAGTGTGAGGAAGCCCGTGGCCGGAACTCGATGATGAGGCCCGCGCGGGGGCCGGGAGGGTTTATGGCGCACGTAGTGATGGAGGACATTAGCAAGGGAAAAGAGAGGATACCTATTAGGTGTGTGAACGAGGTCAATGACAAAGTGTTTGAGAAGAAGTTCGTGTACATTACGCAGTCCATCGTGTATAATCTGGCAACGGTTCAGCTGACTGTAGAGAGGACGAAGTATTTCTCCTGCGACTGCGATGACGATTGTGCGAAGGGAGGGTACCGATGTAAATGTGCGGAGAGTACGCGGGGAGAATTCGCGTATGGAAAAGATGGCAGGCTCGTGGACCGGCTGTGCGTGCGCGAGTTCCAGGTGGGGAATATGCACTCCGATTTCATAACGGAATGCTATCTGTGTGGCTGCGGAATGAACTGTCCTAACAGAGTGGTGCAGAGGGGTATCCGGTGGCGGCTTGAGGTGTTCATGACAAGCAATGGCAAAGGGTGGGGGATTCGGACTCTAGATCGGTTGCCCAAGGGAGCGTTTGTGTTCGAGTACGTTGGGGAAATCGTGACCAACAGAGAACAGATGGAGAGGAATGTAATGTTCAAGGCTGACCAGATAGAGGGTTTTCAGTTGCAGTTGGATGCGGACAGAGAGATGGAGAACGAACATTTCCATGGGGGCTTAGATGACTACGAGGCATTGAATCTGGACGCTACCGTGCATGGGAATATAGCAAGGTTCCTGAACCATCGATGCCAAGATGCGAGCTTGGTGGAGAGACCCGTGCAGATAGAGTCGAGGGACACGCATTACTACCACGTGGCATACTTCACGTCGCGTGATGTGGAGGAGAGGGAGGAGCTGACGTGGGACTACGGGTTGCAGTTCGACGGGGAATCGGACGAGGAGGACCCGGTGTTCGAGTGCAGATGTGGGAGTGAGTTTTGCAGGGATAATAGGAGGAAAGGAGGAGGGAGGGAGCTCGGCAGCAAAGGTGGGGGGGGGCAGGAGAGGGGAGGGGGGGAGGCAACGGAAGGAAGGGAGAAGATTCGCGCACAGGGGAAAACCAGGATATGGAGGCCGGTGAAGGGGAAGGGCGCTCAAGCCAGCAGAGGCAGGAACGGTGGTGGTCAGGGATCTGCGTCGTCCCCGGCAAGATAGGCCCCTGCTACTTCGCAGCGGGGGGTCCGGAGAGAAAGGCCCTGGGAGGGTCCCTGGCAGGGCTTGGGAAGAGATTGAAGAAGGGAGGATTGGCCGGGTCGATCGGTCGAGATGATGGCCATGCCGTGCATGGTCCTCTTTTTTTCCCTTCCTCTTCCCCCCCTCTCGTGTTGGCGAGCAATGGCATGCTGCCATACACGAATGCCACTGATTCATTGACGCCCTGGCAAGCTATGCCAGGCCAGGCCTGGCCTCCCCTCCTCGGTTTCGTTTTTTGTTCACAAACCAACGCCGTGATCCATCATCGTACAGTGGCTGGGACTCACGATGGCTAACTGGCCGAAGAACGTGAGCGATGACCGAGTCACGTGCGCAGTGGCGTGAGACGCTTGTCCAACGCAATCTAGGGGAAAGACGGCTGCGTTCTGCGGGATTATGGATGGGATGGTGTCGATACGCAATCCAGGCAATAAGTCCGCTCCTCTGTGGAACTCTGGATTGAGCCTGAGGAAAGGAACAGACTTTCCGAGTCCGATGATGAAGCAAACGAGAATGCAACCACAGAGACAGCAGAGATCGGTGTCGTAGGCCCTGGGAGGACGACAGAGGGAGAGTGCAAAGTATTGGTTGATTGATGACAACGTGGCCAGAGGGGAGGGGAAAATTTGAAACTCCGCAGCAGGACCGTCCTGGAGTGAGTCCAGTGGCGCATTTCCTGTTTTCTGTCGACGTTCGCAATCGTTGACGGTTGGTCAATTCCTGAAACGGTTTCACCCAGTTCGCAGGACAATTGCAGATCCCAGGGCTCGATCCCTAGACCTAACCCTGGATCCCTTGTACAGTGCCTGTTGACCCCGTGTGCTTTGAACCCGCGACCTGTCCGAAAAGTCGTCTGTCAGCAGTCTGTGTGTATTGTCTGGTCGCGTGGACTTGAACCGTGAGTCTTAGTTTGAGCAGTCTTAGGGTCTGCCGCTTAAGTGAGCTCTTAAGTCTTACGAAGAGTCAGTCAGTCTAGGCCTAGGAGTTTCTGGAAGTCCGCAGTTGGCTCTTAGGTACTGCAGAGGTCAATTGTCCGTAGGTGAGTCAGCAAAGGGTAGTCCAGTCCTAGCACAGTCAGCAGTCCCAGTGCCTAGTCCCAGTCTACTTCGTGCAGTCAGCAAGTACCAGGTGGGACAGCACAATCCTTGGGCCTGGGCCCAAAGGCAGGCCAGACCATCGACAAAAGGTATAAATAAAGAGGCAGCGCCCAGCCATCATTCATTCTGCAAGTGACCCGGCAGCGCTGACTGAGTGTCTTGTGCGTTGGAGGTCTGGAGATGCCCGAAGATGAAGTGGGCAGGAAGGAGGAGACAGCGGCCATAGCCGCTAGGTAGAAGACAGTAGGAGGGAGACGGCGGCCATAGCCGCCAGTGTCGAGCAACAGCAGTGTGTGTGTGTGTGCGCGTGGTGTGTATGCGTGGGCATTCAGGGTAGATCCTAGTGCGTGTGAACCTATGCGTGAGTGAGTGTGGAGTGTCTGATGGTGGATACAGTGGTCGGGTGGGAATTCAGACAGCGTTCAGCGGCCATAGCCGCAAGCTGTGAAGGTTGACTTCAGCTGAGTTCCTGGCTAGTGGCCATATCAGTTTTCTGTGTGGGCGTTGAGTGCCATCTCACACTTATTTCTCATTCTGCTTTGAGAGAGTTCCTCTGCCATTGACATCTGTATGTATGCATGCTGGAAGTGGAGTTGAAGTCGAGTCTGATTACAATTCTGATTGACTCTTGATTTAATGGCTTGGACTTCTCCATTCGTTTGCATCTTCCTGTCCAGGGCAGGGCATGGCTTGAACGTCGAGGGGCCATGGAGGATGGATGGTATTTTTAGTTGTACATTTTTGCCCGTGCTAGGTGAAAATGGTGTTAGAAAGTGCGGTAGTGCTTTTGTTTGCCTTCCCCGCATTGGCGGAGTTCTCAAAAAGAGAGCATCACCGTCAATCTGCATGGTTGGATTTCGCTCCCTCTTATGCTTGCAATGCGCTGATCTATTGCCCCCCTTGCCTTTGCTCATACTCTTACCCATCTACTGTTGTTACGCTTCACATCACCTGTCGATTACAGGTTACTCTTGACGTCACCCTTCCAGTCACCTACAGGTCACCTTCTGTTTCTTGCTATCACTGGGGTTCTCTCCACATCCTGTCAGGCTCGGTCTAACCTTTGCTTGCAGTTTTGCTTTATCTGGGTGCTTTTTGCAGTCATTTCCTTCTTCATCTTTCTTTCATTTTGAATTGCATCGCCTTTGCCCCCCCCCCCCCCCCCCCCCCCCAACTCCGTTTCCGCGGTGGCCTCATCCTTTCTCATCCGTCCTCCTCCTTTGTCCTTGCTTAATGACTCCCTTTGTCCCTGCTTTATTATTTCTCCTCCATCCTTCAAATCTCCTGTCTCTTGTCCACCTCCTCCTCCGTTCCTTGGTTCTTGTTTATCATCTCTTTTTTCTTCCACTTCTTCAACCCCCTGGCCTTGCTTCCTGGGTTCGATCACTCTGGCAGAGTTTTTTTGCCCGTATGGCATGGCCTTGCTTGCCATTTTGCTTTGACATGCCTGACATTTCTCCTCGATCCATCGACTGGGTAAGCAGGAGGATGGGGCTTCGTTTATCTTGTGTTTTTCCGTGGCTCCATGCAAGCCTGCTAGAGTAAATGGGACTCCGCTGGCCTGAATCCGTTAAGTTCAGGCTTTTGCAATTTGCCTCGGGCTGGATTTGATTATTCGATTATCCAGATCACAAGGTTTCCCCTTTCAACAGCTGGATTGCATTTTTCCGCTGCATGACTTCAGCTGGGCCCACATCTCCAAGGCTCTTCTCTTTTTCTCAGTCTGATTGGGCATTCAATTTGTGACAGGGGAAGACTGATTTCTTTCAGAGATCGCAGGGGATGTCTGATGCATCTTCCCTGGGTTCATTCTACTGTGGAGACGCGGAAGTGCGTTCCACCGCACCAGAATTGGCCGCAATCTGCAATTCTAGTTTAGGGCTTTGTTTCAACTGCGATAGAAAATTAGAAATGCATTCCGCCGATCGGAAGTGCATTGCACCACACTAGAATTGTAGGCCGCAACGCGCGATGTAAAGGAGAAGCTATGGCCACAAGCTGTTAGGATTGCTTGTTATTAGCGCAGTAGAACGGTATCCCCTCAGTCTTCCACGTCTGAGATTGCGTGTTGTTCGTGCAGTGGAACGACCCTCTCAGTCTTCCACTGTGTCGAGTGTGTGCTAGGCGTGGAAGATCTTGTACCGTTGGTTCTCATCATCAGGGTGCTGTGAGGTGCGAAGACAGGTTCAGGGTGTTTCTTGCACTGTAGCTAAGCGGTGGAATGTGGCCGTAATTGAGGTTGGATACACTCAATACACTGCTGGTGTGAGTGTGCCATCACCTACCTCATGGGACTTCATGACGCACATGATCGTCTCCGCTTTTCTATTTGCTGTTGTTGCTTGACCGTCCTGCAGATGCCAGTCTTACTCCGCTGCTTGGACGGGAAGAAGGTCCGTGTTGGCTCCATCCTCTGCGTAAGCCGTGTGTGAGAAGAGGAGGGAAGGACAGGGCAGGGGCAGGGGGGAGGTGAGAAAGAAGGCAATGGGGCAATTTATGATGAGCAGCGACCAATGGGAATGGGACAAAGTACAGAGAACGGCAGGTTCAACAGAGCAAGGTTTTGGTACGCCTTCCAGGCTTCAAGGCTTCCGTGTGTGGTGTCTGCACAGCCCAGCTGATGTTTTTTGTTCTTCCAAGCGGTTTTTGCCTTCACCAAAATTAAGGTTACAGGCTCTGTCTCTCTTCCCTCCCCTCCCCCCCCTCTCCTCCCCACCCTCCTCTTTCCTTTTCGTTAGAGGAATGTTAGTGTATCTCCATGGTGAAGGCATGGGCAGGCGGGGCAAGGCAGAGGGAAGGGGGAGGGAAGAGAAGTCTTCCAGGGTCTTGCATCTGACCCCTGGAAGCTCAAATTCCTATAGCGGACCAGTTAGGACTGTTGTCTTGCCCGTCCGCAGCTCGCCCGAATGTTATCGATGGGCAGCCATCGCATAGTGGCTTGATGGCTATATGCTGCGATTAACAGATGAAGTCTGGTTGCGTTGTACTTCTGTTGTAGTGTCCGTGGACAATTCTTGGATTAGCTATTTGATCAAGAGATGTACTGTGTTATGAACAATGTTTGAGCTGTAGCAACTATATCCATAGTTGTGCGATTCGTGAGTTTTGGCTGTTCGATGGAGACTGGGTTTGAAGTTCAAGTATGAAACCAGAGAAAACTCTGCTTGGAATAACTGGCCAAACTGTAGGTGAAGGGCAACAAGTTCTTGTGAATTAGTGGAATTAAAGTCGTTTGACTATTTACGATGGATATTTTATTGGCAGTCTTTGCATGTGTTTGATAATTTGATTGGATTACTTTCAAGCTATGGAGTCTCGTCAGCTGCTCAAGCTTCTTATTAGCTAATCATCCGAGTCGTTGATTTGTGAAATTGTGGGGAGATGATGAGGTGGCAAGTGCTGTTTGGCTGTTCAGTGGCTTGACCTCTCGGGCTTTTCCCTGTGTCCTATCTCTGGCAGTATCCGCCTCCCCCCCCCCCCCCCCCCCCCCCCCCACACCCCACCCCACCCCCCACCCCACCCCACCTTTACTGTATTCCCTGTTTGCATCTCTTCCTCACACCCTTTCCTCTTCTCTCCCTCACCCTCACCTGTTTGCTACCTGAGCGCAATGCTGCTTGAACTGTCTATACCTAGTGTCCCATCCCCTTTTTGCTCGACTTCAAGCAATTCAAAACACTCACATATAGACTGCATTGGATGCATCACACACTTGAATGAAACTCTTCCTATCAAACTGAACTGATTGCTCACGCGCAAAAGCGAGGAAAGCTAATGTGTACACCTAGGCCCACAGAATCAGGAACAGTTGATCAGAGTGAGACTTAGGACCGTCTGTGCTCGGTGTTGGTAGTTTTCTGGGGGTAAGAGTAGAGACTAGAAGGGGGGCCCGTTGCTAGCTGGAGATCTGGGGGGGTCAGACACTACTACGCTCGGGAGGGGTTAGGATGTGGGCTCCCCTCAGGACAGTTCGCCCATGGAATGGAACGGTGGTTGATGAGAGTGAGGCTTAGTACGCTCTATGGCCGATGTCTGTCTAAAAAAACTAAGACCTTACAGACCCCACCCATAGAAATAGGAACACTTGATGAGAGTGAGAGTTCGTACAGTCTATGGCCGGTGTAGGGTTCCTGTGTTTGGGGGGCTCTCTACGGGATTGATTAGGTTGTCTGCCTCCTATATTCAGTTCACCATCAACAACAAAGTAGTAATAACAACAGTGTTCACAGTGAACAACCTAACACCAACAACAGTAACAGTAACAACAGCTGTGTATATAGCGGTAGGAACACGAAAGATAGGTCCTCCTCTTGGGACTTGTAGTAGTGAAACTTCTATGCCTAGCGCCTGAAGTTGCCGGGCGGCAAGGCTCGCTCGAATATGCTTCGATCAGGGCTGAGCGGGGTGTGTGGGGCTCAGCTTAGCCCTGGTACCTGCAACCACTGTTCGGTCAGGTCACCCCCAGACCGGAGGGTGAGTGGTAGACACTGAGGTAGGATAGCGGGAGTTAGGAGTGGACCGGGAATAAGTTACGAGAGTGGTAGGTTGGGAGGGAGTCCCATTGGATTAGGGGGCCTCTACCACATGGCCGAGTGCTGAAGGTGACTCTCACCTGTCTATAATCCAGCCTCACAACTACCTGGACTTTGTATTTAAAAAAATAAAAAATAAATAAAAACCAGCGTCGTAACTCGTGGTAGAAGTCTAGATTCATGGGTCAAAAGTCACATCTCTTGTCTTGACAAGGTCTGAGAAAAGTCCTTTGGTCAGCAGGTATGGAGTCCAGGATCAAACGAGGCTGCCTGTGCCCCTCACCGGGTAGTTGACTCCAGGAAAACGGGGAGTCGGCACCAAACTCGGGAAGAGTAGGTCAAGAGTCGGAGATTTCTCAGGAGTTAATCATGGCCACAAATCTGATGCACAATCAAAGGCTGTCTGCATGGCTACAGAAGTTTCCAGGGCCTCCTGGGTGCAGGCACACATTGGCCGACAGCAAATCTGGGTCGCGAAGATCAAGAAATCTCCACCACAGGAGGAGGCAAACTGCGACAGGACTAGACATGTCGACTGTACAGAAGATTTGCCTGCCCCTGCAGCTCATTCATTCTACCTTGCTCGTCAGTGCAGCTGGGTGAGGTAGGGAACGCTGGTGCCAGGGAGAGGAAGACATCACCAGGACAGTAAGGAGAGGGAGAGAGTGTGTAGCCATAGCCAGGAAATGCGCTCAAGCACTATAATTCAAGCTTAGAGGTAGGGCGGTGATGAGGACTGTGAGCAGAGAAAGTAAGAGTGTGAGAAGCTTGCTTTGACTCGCCTGCTGTGCTCGTGATACTGGAGCTGCTGTTCACACCAGGAGGCTGAAGGAAGGCTGACGAAAATTTATAAAAGTTAAATGACATTTTGTAATACGAAATTAAAATTTAAATTTTAAAATGTAATTTTATTATAAAACTATGTTACCAGTTTTCTGATTAGAATGTAATTTTATTATAAAACTATGTTACCAGTTTTCTGAGGGCAGGACGTCTTGGGCGGACAGTCAGGGGGGTCCCGGACGTCCGGGCCCAGACAACTCCATTTTTAGCAATTAAAAGCACGTAAAAAAGGAAAAACAATTGGGGGTGTCTTTTATTTTATTTTTTATTTTAAACTTGACAACGAATTTCGATATTATCCCAAGGCAAAAGTTGTTCAGTTTATTTTTCTGCATAACATAGTTGGTTTACAGATTTTTTTAAGGATTTTTTTTTTTTTTTTGTTCGGGCTCGGACAGACTGTCCGCGGAGGATGTCTGATCGGTTGTCCGAGCGGACAACCCTGGACGGTCAGGGAGGTCCCGGACGTCCGATCAGGTAACCTAGTTATAAAATTATTATTTAATTCTTTTTTCTTTTTTTTTCTTTTTTTTTCTTTTTTTTCTTTTTTTTTTCTTCTTTTTCTTTTTTTTTTTCTTTTTTTTTTTTCAAAGACAACCCTCACCAGTGCTAGAGGTGCTGGTAAGAGCAGACACAGCTAGCACCGGGGGGGAGGCTCCATCTATTGGTGGGGAGCGTCACCTGCTGGAAAGCGGGTCCAGTGTCCCATATACAGAGTGAAAATGCAGACTGAAGTAAAGAAAATCCTGCCAGCATTGATTGCTCTGGGGTCCAGAGGATTAACTGAGCAGGTTGTATCGGGTCGGGAACTTCTTTGCCCTATGCCAGGCGCCAGATATGTGCATCTGCCAACTGATTCCCTGCTCCGAAAGAGGGCCTGATGCTGGCGCCCATGCGTCCATCAGGCCTGCTTACTCCGCCCCATACCACTGCATGTCCACTACCGCCAGCTGATGGGGTGGAAAGGGGTCGGGAAAATCCGATGGTAGCCGTAACGGAACCCCTTGGCCCCACCGTTGTCCAGTCTCTAAAACAGATCTGATAGTCTTTAATGATCATCTCCCGGTTGCTGTCGTGGTTGCCTGCTTCGTTTCTCCGAGTTTGGCCTCCATCCCACTTGATGAAAGCGATTGGCCTCCGTCCGTGCCGCCCAGCCAGTCCCCCGAAAATTGTCGGATATTTTGTTCTTCCTCCTTTGTTTGGCACAGATCCAGCAGAATTTTGACCTTCTGCCATTGCGTCATAAGTTCTTGGTGTATGAATTGTTTAATCATGTCTGTCATTTCCTCCCCGGCTATGCGGACTCCCTCCATGACGTGTATACAACGTCTCCTCCAGATCGCCCACATAACCGCTCTCCTACCTATTTTAAACATATTCTCTTCAAAGGTACTAGATGCAGGGGAGGTCTGTGTCTCACACAGTATCGCCCTCCAGTCCCATGGCCAGTTTGTGCCGATGTCCAGCAGCCTCCAAATCCTGTCCCACCATCGCCATGTAAGAACAGATCCCGGACATTGCAAGAAAATGTGTTCTATGGTTTCCGGGATCTTTCGGGAGGGGAATGCCGCGTGGCACGATTTGCACCACGGGAGTGTCAATCCTTTTTGTTCTAGGTTGGTGCGGTCTATTAGCCAGTCATTGGTGGGGAGGCAGTGGTATTCTATCTGCCACTACAGTGAGGCTAGCTTCGCTGGTTTGGCCCTTGTGAGGGAGAACCACCGAATGGGCCGGATGGCATCAACCCCGCCATTCAGATGGGATCTCCACCGGGTTTTTACGATATCTTTCAACTTCACCTTAGGGCGCAATAAGCGATAATTAGCCTTCACTGTCAGGCTGTAGAGCTTCACGTTCTGTCTTTGGGGTTCTGCGCGCGGGGGGGCACTGCCACTCCTCCGGGTCAAAGGGGAGATTCGCAATGCAGGTCCCCGGCTGGTATACTATGCAAGCGTCCTTATCCCGTAGCACCCGGATCCTGTACAAATCAGTGTTCCGATACCACCTCGTCACATCCAGGGCATATTTGGTTAGTTTGTTGTCATTTTCTTTGTGGAAGAGATTAATCAGCGTTTCCTCTGTGTGTGTTGTTACTACATTTCCCACACTCTCTGAATCGCCGATGACCGCCACCCAGTCCCCGTCTGTCAGCTTTGGTCCCTTTCGCAGAATGCGTACCCAATCCAGGGGAATCGTGAAGATCAGACTCTCCAGGTTGCCTCCTATATTATGACAATGCTTCAACAACGTCCTCATCTGTGACTCTGTCTTCCAGCCTTTGTTTTCTGAGTCCCAGATGTCCTTAATTCTAGTTATGCCCCTTTTGACCCAGCTGTTCCACGGGGGGGCGGAGCTGCGATAGACCCTCCCTTGTCGATCCGTGATATTTTTGTTCCCGAACAGGGGTTGTCGAGCCACCTCCTCCCATTTGGTTGGCCTAGTTCTATCTGGCAACGGTAATTGGCGCCAGGCTTTCATGCAGCGGATCCAAAAATCGTCCTTTACGAGGTCGCTGCGGACTGTATCCCAGTTCGGGTCCTGGCTCCTGCGGGAGCGTCGAGGCAAGGACCAAAAGCGGTCTTCCAGCCAAGACAGGGGGGTTACTGTTCGAGGGGCTTGTGGAGCGAGTCGGGTGATCTGGGGCATGCCAAGGGAGGTCGTGTGTGAACACCAATCTCCTGATCCATTGCACCATTAGTGTTGTGACCTGGGTGCCCGGGTCCAAAATGCCCAAGCCTCCTCTGTCCTTGAATTGGATCACCGACGTCCATGATGCTCTGTGTATAACATTAGTAAGCTCACTATTACCCCTCCACAACATTGTCGTTATTTGTCGTTTGAGGGACCGCATTGCTTC